AATTCTTTAATTAAATTCAAGTAATCGGTATTAATACCGATAAATCAGTATTTCTGGCAATGCTGTCGTGAAGTGTGTAAAATGGTCTATGGTCCATTTCATCACTATAAAAAGAGCATTTCTAGGCCAAATAGCAACACAAACATTGAATATCAGCCTCGACCTTCTCCAATGAAACATTTTGTCAAGCTTCTGCATTCATTTTCCATCAGATGTCACTGCTGTTGTTAGCGGTGACATCTATCGGACACTACGCATAATCTGTCTTCCGTTAATTGTTCACAGAGGACATTGCAGGGCAAAACATGCGTGGTATCTTTATATATGCAATTAGATTAACATCTTAAGTTCCTCCTTTTTACACATTCTGCACACAAAATAGCTCACTTCTCACAGGATTTCCCGCCGATTTTTATGAATGGGGCAGTATGGAAAGTATCTTTTGTGCAGTATATGTCAGAAGGAGGGACTTTGAATGTTAATCTAAATGCATATTAAGAGGTACCAGATATATTTTGCACTGTCAGGTTCTCTATTTTGTCATCTATGAAATGGAAATCCCAAATAGAGTGTCATCAAAATGCATGGCATGTTGAGAAATTAAGCTAGTGAGAGCAAATTTTGTCTCTCTCAATTTTAAATTGTTTAGTTCTCTGGGGAGTGCATGGGGAAAATCATTTTTATTTAATTGTAACTTTTTAACAATAATTTCCGTGAAAAAACTGAACGGCAAAGTCCCTGACTAATTTATTTAGGTTGTCGTTCACTATTTTTGACCTACATATGCACCGAAAGCGAATTATTCCCACTTCTCTCAATTTCTACATGGGGATTTGTATCACTTTCTACCAGCGGAACAGCGCCATCTTTATGAAAAATGGCTGGATGATGTGATTAATTTGTGTAAAACTTTGTAATTTTCGGCAATTTTCAATACCGCTAAAAAATTTAAAAAGGTGTTTTCGATATTTTTAACAAATCATAGCTCGAAATTGACACCTCCAACCGAAATGACGTCTGAGACAAATTAACAGGAAAACATTTTTTTCAGAAAAAAATACACTCGTAAAAATATCAAGTTATTTTGAGTTGAATTCCAGAAAAGGGCTGGAGCATATATTACAAAAAAATAACCCGCTTCAATTTTTTTCAATATTTTTTTTTTATTAAAGAACAAACATTATTCCCAAAATTACTTGCCATCGGTACCGTGTAAAATTTTTTTTATGAAAAGGAATGGCATTTTCCTACAACTTTGTCTTAGACGTCATTTTGAAATGTTTCGCGAAATTCAAAATGGCCAAACTGCAGCCTAAAATGGTTATGACTGACATGGATCAGTCATGTGCCACACAATTATGAAAAGCTTATTCAGTACACATCGTGCTCTTTTGTCAAGCGAATCTAATTGCTTTTTGCTGAAGGAAGTATACTGATACCTAAAGATACAAAAAAAAAATAAACAGTGCTCAATATTGCCTGCACATTTTCTACTTTGTTCGACTCTAATTCCTCTAAGATCATTGTTTGGAACCTACCGGAGGTAATCCTGCTTGCACATGGACTTGAAAAGATTCTCTTTGATCATTGGTATTTTTATAATAATTCACTTGGAAGATGATTGTGAAAAACTTTCTTCTGCTGCAATGGTACCTAAACGCAAAAGAAAAGGGCAATCTCTAGATCCCCCTTCTGATGAAATTTATTTGAGCAATCAATTTGATATGCTCAAGGATGACGAGAATGGTCCTTCAGCTAGACAAAATTCCAATAATCATTCCCGACTCAATGCCAAGAATGAAAAGGTCCCCCTATTGTGGTAACCACTTTTGATTTCCATGCTCTTCGCTTTGGAACTACGTTAATGTATTCCAGTTTTCACTTCAAATTGGCCGTTGGGCTGAATGCCGCGTTTTACCTGAAACCTTGGACTGATTCAAACGGCTTTTCCGGAAGAAGAACGCACACACATGTTTTGCTTACACTGAACGTCTATTCAAGGTTTTCTTGAAAAATCTGCCACAGACCCTGGATCAGATCAAAGATGAATTGACAAGTTGACTTGGTGTTGAACCAGTTCAAGAAATCAAAATGAAAATGAAGGCCCAGTCTAGCAATTTGCGTAACGGGATTTATAATGATTTTTAATAATGAGAGAGAGAAGGAATAGGATTTTCCATTTAATTCCACTACCTTATTTGCTTATCCTTGACAGATACGCGTATTTCTTCTACAATGTACAGACTTCTTCAGTGTCTTGTACTAATACTAGACTGAAGAAAAAATTCGCATTTTACTGAATATATATTAACTCAGGTACATTTTCACTTAAAAAGCTAGGTAAACTTAAATTTAATTTCCTGTATGAGATGCTTACTCGTTGATGTGTCCTAGGTAGTAACTTGAAAAGCCATGTTTGTCCGTTTCCTTGATACCTGTTGAGTAAAGTTGAATTCCGTTGTTTGTTGATCTCGAGGCTCTCTGCAACATCCAGTTTCCATGGTTCGTAGAATTGTGATGTCCTCCGTCGATAGTTGGTGGTCCTTTGTGAAGATGTGCTCTGCAACCTTTGATTTTAAATCATATGTAAGGTCTTTTTCCTCTTGCTTTTTGGCCTTATTAACCTCCGCTATATGTTCTTTAAATCTAGTTGCAAAAGTTCTCTTGGTTTGTCCTACGTATACTTTGTAACAATGATTACAGCTTATTTTACATACACCTGCTTTACCTAAAACATTAACTGGGTCTTTAGTGGATCCTAACAATGAGTTCAACTGGTTATGTCTACTGGTGAAAACTAAATCTAATCCTAATTTTTTTAACTGTGGTCTTAGCTTACAAGTAATATCTTGATCATATGGAACGGACACTCGTTTCAAGGGTTCAGGTGGGTGAGGGTTGTAAATAATCTCCTTTGTAGAATTCTCGCCTTTTTATCGATGATTTCCTGGATTGTTATCCATGGAGTCTCGCTGTTTCGAAGATGTACCGTAATTCCTTAACCTTTCCTGTATCACTGAGTGGAAGAGCCTGAATCCGATGAATCATGTGGTGGAAGGCGGCCATTTTCTGCTGGAACGTATGGTTGGAAGCATAACCCAGACAACCAGAAGTCGTATAATAATGTACAGACAGTATCGTAAATTGCTACAGTTTAAGTCAAAATCGCATATAAGAATGGCACATACTTCGCATTATGTTTAAGTTAAATCGTATAGAATGCATATTTCCGACTTATATGCGATGACTCATTTTTCCGTCGTACTGAATCTCAAATTAAATCAGATTACATCGTAAGACTTTTTTAAATGAATTTGTTTTTACAGATTAAATCGTATATGATGATAAATCAACTCGTTTAAAATTAAATTAAAATATGCACGAATACGGCCTCCACTTTTGTACGTATATCACGAAAACAACTTTGAATATACGTGCATTCTGGTTGTCTGGGAACATTTTTGGTGCTTGATGGTTTCCTGTAAATTTCGTATTCAAGCGAAGAAGATGATGACGATTCCCTGATGACTAGAATATCGAGAAATGCGAGTTTCCCGTAATTTTCTACCTCGGTAGTGAATTTGACATCCTTGTGAATTATGTTCATCTCATCTTAAATTTGTGCAAGGGCTTCCCAAACCTCCACCAACGGGTTGGTAATAGCCCTTTCTCCTTCAGGATTGTCTCCAAGTTGGCCATGAAAAGTTCACACAGGAAGGGGGATAGGGCGTTTCCCATTGGGGCTCCTTTCGTCTGCTTGTAGATGTTACCTCGGAAAGAGAAGTAGTTATGTTCCATACAAAGGCGGGTCAACTTAAGCTACATCCGAATCTTGACCGGTACGCTGTGAAAAAAGAGATGTGACGTCGAAAAATACCATAATCTCGTCCTCGTTGAAGTCTCCTGAAGATTGTAGTTGCTGGGCGCACTCATGGGTGTTATACCCCGTTCACATTACAGCGTATATCACGTGATATACACTGTCTTGCAATGAGCACTCATACATCTAGTTTACACTGGAAATCCTATGTATGAGTGCTTATTGCAAGACAGCCTATATTACGTGATATAGACTGTAATGTGAACGGGGTATTACTAACTGCTTTACTCTGGAACTGATTCGGCATACTCTGGAACTATGTTAATAGCCATTTCGCTAGTTTGTGCGGGGGGGGGGACCAACTGCAGACACGATCTCTCGCATTTAATTTCCCGGTTTGTGGACTTTGGAGAGACCTTTGATCATGGGTAGAATGGGATTGGATTCCCGTAAACGACCTGCTCCATCTCCTAATATTGATTTGCACTCCTTCAGTGCTTTCTCCACGCGTTTCACTATGTTCTGTAAGGGGTCTACTTGAAGCTGTTTATACGGTCCGTTGTTAATCTTTGTTGTCATCTGATTGTCGTAATCGTCCATGTCCATGATATCGACCTCGTTGCTCTTGTCTGCTTTGACTTAGTATACTGCTTTACTTTTCAACTCCTTTTCCTGCTTTACCTCCGAATATCCTTTTCGTTGGTTTGACTTTGTTCCTGTCCGTCCTTGATTATGTTCGATGTGATAGTCCTGACCGTATTCTGTGATGATGTTGGAAGTGTCAACCAACCAACACTAAGACGCCCACATTCATCAGGATTGATGATTTTTGTTTAGATCACTTCAAGTTCAGTGAGCAAAACAAGCTTAAGACTTTATAAAAAGCTAGCCTTATGCTCCATGTCCGAATAAAGTGGGAAAACTTCAGGAAGACTTGAGGAACTATTCAAAACCTCTCCCAATGCCGTAGATGCCATGGTACACAAAATTGCTACATGCCAGTTTTAAAAAAATCCTGACGCGAAATTGGGAAAATTTTAACAATTCCGAAAAAACAAAACACTGGAAAGACCGAAAAATTGCTAATCGGGTTTTTCTGGTAACCATCATTTTAATGCAGCTTGCCAGAAGTTTCTATTTCGGTAAAATTACTAATTTCACCGAGTGACCACTTCTGCATAATAGCGTTCGGCCTAATGGAGTTCAACCTGTTGGCACCTGGCCAGTCCAATGACAGGATGTGACTATCGCGTAGGCAACATGTCATACCGTGACAGCGGGCCTAGCACATAAACATAAATTATTGGGCCCGAGACATACTGTCTACTGTTAAGCTGCATTTGGCTTACTCCTCCATCGTAAAACCATTTTTTTCTTCCTCCCTCCTATTTTGAAATCTGACTAGGTCATTGGATGACACGGTCGAATAAAATTTTGAAATCATATTTCAAAAGAAATCAAAAATCTTAAGCTACAGTAAGGGTCCAAGTTTGCCAACACACCATTGTTGACTTTTAAAATTTTAAAAATTCATCAACTTTTACTCTCATCGGCCGTGAAAAGGACCAAAATCTTCCATAACATAGTAAAAATTTCAACTAACGAAAGCGATGTAGTCCACTCTGCCTTCGAGCCAACCCTATCGCAATTACCGCGACTCACCAGTAGTGTGTAAACCCCGCGCCATTCTCGCGACATCTCCAGTAGATAGCTCAAATAATACAACCTCTATCGCTATCTATGTAGTAACTACCTGCGCTTCACACGACGAAACCCCCCTAATGCTGCACTACAGTGTCCCGCGTGTGTAGTAAAGTGTCAACTTCAAGTTTCTTATCAGCAGAAGCACCAGCACCAGCACCAGCAGCAGCAGCAGGAAAAGTTCTCAGTTGTAAGGCGTTATCTTTGTTGCAAGTGTCAGAGCGATAGAGAGAGAGAAAGCGTGAGTGAGTGAAAATGTTTCGTGCCTATGGATCACTTCCGCCAAGTGAGTGTTCGTCACCGCTTTCGCCGACGACGGGGGCTCCCTCATCGCCATTCGACCCAGCACCGGCGACGTCATCGTCGTCGCCGTGGATGACTCCCTCGTCAGTCGATACGACCACAGCGGTGCAAGTGCCTCTGGGAAGATCCTTGTCACTGTTTGAGACGGCCGATGTCGGACACCACCAGATGGATCCAATTGGACAGCGGCAGTGGTCGGGCGGTTGCTACGATAACGACGACCCGGTTGGCTTGAGTCAGCTACTGGCCAGTGCGAGGTTTTTCAAATCGGATCGCTCCAACCGGATGCGGACGTCAACGGCGGCGGCAAAAGGTGGGTCTGGGGATGGAGATCGATTAGTTTTGTTTACTGTTTGGGTAGGTTGGGTAATTTGCCACGCTTCGGCTACGGCGAAAACCGTAGTAGGTATGTACTGCTCCCATGGTTCTAGCTCATTATAATGCGCGATTGCGATAATCGGTATTTATGTTTAGATTGGATATGTGTTTGTGTGGGCGTGCGAGGTGTGAAGACGGGATAGGGGAGAGGGAGGTGTTTGCGTTGCAGTAGTGGCGAACTAATTAGACACAACCCGGCGGATATTAGTGCTGATTGTGCAAATGTGTACGGTTTGCAGGGCTTCGTTGATAGCGAGTGTCAACTATGCAAATTTCAAGCTGTGTTTGAATTGGGTTGAGCTTGTTTGATACATTTTATTTTATCATTCAGATTGGGTAGGCAAAGACTGGAGTCCATTGTTTTAAATTGAGATTTGAATTCAATGCAAGTCAATGTAAATGAGTGATGATCGTTCGAGATGCCTCGTGGAATGCGCATCTGAAAAAATACATTCATACTGACATATCGACGAGGAAAGACAAATTGTCAATGCCTGAGTTCTTAAACTCCTTAATTTATAACAGCGATTCTCAAATCAATGGGTCGTGAGCCACCCTCGAGTGGGTTGCAGAAATTCAGCAAACTTGATCGTCGTCGTCTTATTCTTCTTCTTATTATTATTATTATTATTATTCTTCTTCTTCTTCTTCTTCGTATTTCAAGAACATAAGCTTTTTGAGTGCTCTCAACTTAGTGGTCTAGATGCACTTCCACAGTTATTAACTGAGAGAGAGAGCTTGCGGTGCTTGTAACATTTCTGCATTATTATAATTGTGTGGCAAGTACAACCATACTCTATTTCCGGGAGATTCGAGAAATGTTCCAACCCGAAAAATTCCTTGACCGGACCTAGAATCGAACCCAGCCTCCTCCAGCATGGTCTTGCTTTGTAGCTGCGCCTTTGCCGACCGAGCTAAGGGAGGCCTCGAAAACTTGATCATATGTTTTCAAATAAGTTCTGCAAAATTTGGCTGTTTTAAAAATTGCGTTGAGATAATCGATTTTTTACAATGAGTTATTTGGGTGTTTTAAGGTTGTTTTTGAGTTTTGAAGACTTCAAAACTTTCATCTAACCTGCAGACCTTTTGCGCAGTTTTTTTTGGAAATTTTGGAAATTTTGGTATTTGTTAATAACTATTTGTGCATGTGACGTAATTTTTTTTTATTCAGTATTTTATCAGGCTCAATCGCGTTAGCTTTACGGGGTCGATAATTAATTGGTCCATTTGGCCTGAGAGCCCAATCCGATAGAGATGTGAGTCTAATGAAAAGTGATTGGACATGAGCCTAGACATTTTAATTTTATTTTATTAACGATCACCGCCTTCGACTAAGTCGCACAGACTGAACTACTTAATACTATTTTCTAGACTTAATTCCTAATCCTATGTGAAAATACAGTTTTGGACGTGTTAAAATCGAATTTGTCGTCAACTTCATTAAAAGCCCGGAGACAAGAATCAAGGGGATTGTGATGCCCATAGTTCGTCCTGTGGTACGGAATTGCCAGTAAAGGTGAACTTCGGAAGCGACGTGGAGGAATGTTGATCGGTATCTGCTCAAGAAGTGCAGGACAGTCAATACCTCCTGTGATGACATCAAACACGAACATACGCTGCATTTTAATTCGCCTCGATGACAGACTTTCTAAGTTGATCAATCGGCATCGGTCGGGGTAAGAAGGAAGATTTAATGGGTTATTCCAGGGAAGCTGGCGTAGAGCAAATCGTATGAATTTCCTCTGCACACGCTCAATTGCTAAGATCTGCGTCGCGTAGAATGGTGTCCATACAGGAGCAGCATACTCCAGGATACTTCGCACTAACGAACAATATAACGTTTTGATGGCGTACACATCAGTAAAATCTGAAGCATGTCGACGAATAAATCCGAGTGCAGAAAATGCTTTGGCGCTTATAATAGCTGCATGTTCGTTAAACTTCAATTTTGAGTCAATAGTAACGCCCAGATCACAAATCGATAGAACTCGCTCCAGTATGACGGATTCCATTTTAAATTGATGGACAATGGGCCTGGTGCGTCGCGTAAACGAAATAACTTTGCATTTGTCCCTGTTCACGCGCATTCCATTATCGCTACACCAAACGAGCATAACGTTTATGTCCTCTTGCAACGCCATGCAGCCTTCTGAAGAAGTGATGACACGATAAATCTTCAAGTCGTCGGCAAAAGAAAGGTTAAAAGAAGAGAGCAGCATACACAAGTCATTTACGAAGATATTGAAGATCAGTGGCCCAAGAACGCTTCCTTGAGGTACACCGGTCGTGATGTTGAACGGCTGGAATTGTGCCGCATTCACTACAACACAACCGGTTCTGTCCGACAGGTACGAGCACAACCACTGCGTTATCCATTCCGGAAACCCCATGTGTACCATTTTGTCTATGACCAAGATATGTGGTACAGTGTCGAAGGCCTTGGCGAAATCTATATAAATCGAATCAACTTGTTGTCCATGTTCAACTTCGCGAGACAAGGTGTTGACGTAACACATCAGATTTGTAGTCGTGGAGCGTTGTTTCATGAAACCATGTTGGCTGCCGGAGATTAATGAAGATACGGCGTTATACAGAACGTTATGCACCAGTTTTTCGAAAATTTTGCTCAAGCAACACAAGACAAAAACACCTCGATAGTTCGTGACTCGATTACAGTTGCCGGATTTGTAGATTGGAATGATAGAAGCTGATTTCCAAGCCACTGGGAACATCCTGTCATGCAGCGAACGGTTGAATAGAGATGTTATGGGAGATGCAAGTGCGGTGGAGCAATTCTTCAGCAGCAAGGGTGGTATACCGTCCATTCCAGGTCCTTTATCAACGTCGAGTTCTTCAATGGCTTTCACCACTTCGACAACGGAAAACTGAACGTCGGGTAGATTTATGTCTGGTGAAGCAATATGGGCAAAGCGGTTGAAGCGAGGAACAGGCGATGATTTGCTAAATACGCTCTCGAAGAACTTGGCGAATAGGCTTGCTGCTTCCGAATTAGAGCTAGCGATTGTTTCATCGTATTTAACATTAGTTGGAATGCGAGTAGCCGATTTTTGGCTTCTGAGAAAATTTCAGAAACATGAAGGATTTTGCTTGACATCTGATTGAATCTTAGCCATGTAACTTTCATACGTGGAAAAAAGAAGTGCCTTGTACGTTGTTTCCACTTCCTGAAGGTTATTCCGCTCACTATCGGACTTCATCAGAAAGAAACGGCTGCGTGCTTTCCTGAGGACGTTTCGTAGATGACGTAGTTCAGAGGTCCATCATGGCTTGTTGTAGACTGAAGAAGCTCGTTGTCTCTTTTGAGGTACTTGGTCACTAAGAACTTCGTAAAGTTTATCATAGAAAGCTGATACAGACTCGTCCAATGATTCCCGTCGCAGTAGAGCATCCTATTCGATGTTTGAGAGCACGTCATCCAAACGACCAAAATCACACGACTGAAAATTAAAGTTGAATCTCACATCCCCATCGTCCGTTGTGATTGCGCCATTACAGCTTTCGTCAAGAAGCAAGATAAATGGTGCGTGATGGTCGTCAATTGGTAAAAGTGGAGTTGAGGGTACAATGAGGTCAAAGTACTCCGGTAGATTGACAAACACAAGATCGAGGAGTCTGCCATTAGTATTCACGACATGACCCGGATAAAGTCTCGGTCCATGCTCAACCCTTTACACCATGGTTTGTTCGACACCTGTGGGAGAATAGAGTCTAGCCATCTTTCCAAATCACCATCATTCCACTTTTGTTGCTGAGGACTTGCTGACGAGCAATTGAGAAAAATTCATTGAAGGCGATTTTACGGTCGAAAATGTCACTTTCCATAGCGCCCACCTTAGCCAACGAGTCCGCTTTTTCGTTACCCGGAATAGAGCAATGAGAAGGGACCCAAACCAAGGTGATAGTGTAAGAGCAATCAAGATAGATCGTATTCCAAACAGGAAATACGACGAGTGCTTCATCGGCCTCAATAAACGAATGGCCTTCAGTGAGCTTAGGCTGTCCGTGTAAATGAAGTAATGGTCAGGGGGAAGTGAAGTAATTTGCTCTAACGCGTATGATATAGCTGCTAGCTCCGCAACGTAAACTGAGCAGGGTTTCTGAAGTTTATAGGAGGCGCTATGAAATTCAACTCTAAAACCAGTGGACGCATTTATGGTTGACCCATCTGTGAAAAATCTTTTCTCTTGACTGACCATCGAACGATGAGGATCTGGTATTCCATGGATGCTTGCTTTATGGTCAAATCAAAATGTACAGAGGAACTGTAGAAGATTTCGAAGTCTGCATAATTTGGGTTGAACGAAGACGGCCCAACCTGCAGCGTCATGTATTCGTAGTACAAATTCATGAATCAAGTTTGCGGATTTCGGTCGAGCAACTTCTCAAAGTTCTCTATTACCAATGGATTCATAACTTCGCAACGGATGAGAAACCGGAAAGACAGCTCAGCGAAACGATTTGTTAAGGGGAGTACACCCGGTAGTACCTCGAGACTCATCGCATGCGTCGAGTTCGTACAGCCTAACGCGATACGGAGACAACGGTATTGAATCCGTTGCAGCTTCAAAATGTTGGCCGACGATTGAAATCAATGGTTGTTCGGTGCAACCTTATCAAGTCTTCCGGAAGTCAACCATGAAAATTGATTCTTTGCTGGCATTTTTGACTCAAATACGCAATGTTTTCTTCATGTGCATTTGGAATCGAACCAGACACCTAAATACTTAAAAGACATGCTATGAGTGATTGTTTCACCCATAAGTTGAAGCTGTATTTGTGCTGGATAATGTGTCCTAGAAAAAAACAACCATCTCAGATTTCTCCGGAAAGAATTCGATTCCCAGCTTCACAGCCCAAGTAGACAAATTGTGCAAGGTATCTTGCAATGGTGCTTGCAGGTCCGGTGCTTTTGGT